ATATGTATGATACTTTTTAATATTCAAAAGTACTTTTATTTTCAAAAATCTTAATTGTATTCAATATTTTATAACATTAATTTTGCAGTTGAAATAAGTGGGTTAAAATTTGTCCCACCACACACTTGAATTTCCGCTCAATAGATGGCAGCACTCACGATTATTTTTTTTCTTTCTTTTTTGCATCTACTTTTTTCGTGATTGCGCGCGCGCTTTTACATCCGTTGTATCTCTGATGTGCTAAAATGTGTAGGAAAAAATTAACAACTCAGGAAGCTTTGGATCTTTTTGCTGAATTGCCATCCGATTGCGACTCAAATGCTTCAGATGAAATTGAAATCCAGGAGAGAATAACTGAGGTTGAAGTTATTGCTGAAGAAGAAAGGGAAGTAGTCATAATTTGTTTCGCTTTTTAAAGACACAGACCCATCTATGCATGTGGCACTGTAAATATGGATCGGAAGTATCTACCCAAAAATTTAAAAGACAAATTTATGTCAAGAGAATATAGACTTTTCAGTTAGCGATGATTCAATTTATTGCATAAAATGGAAGGATAAAAGATCCGTTTCTATCCTGTCTTGCCTGGAAAAGGCAACTGAAATGAAAGAAATTAATAGAAAGGAACGAGATGGAAAGACAAAAAAAAAAAAAAAAAAAAAAAAAATACTGTGCCCAAACAGCATTATTTCATACAATAAGAATATGGGATATGTCGACTGATTGATCAACTGAAAGGACTATATGAAATAGACCGCAAAAGCAAGAAATGGTGGCACATGATTTTTTTTTTTTTTTTTACTTTTTAGATGCGAGTATAGTAAACACATTTATTCAAGTTTGTTCGCGAACCTGATCATGATGTAAAAACAATGAAAGATTTTCTTCTCTCAGTTACAGAAGGTCTAATGGCACTTGCAGGCAAGAAAGAGCTGAAAAGAAAACTGAAATCCCCAGTTCAAATAAAAACTAAAAACCCGTTCGTACAACCAGAAAAGACACTAAAAAATGTAAGTAAAACGCCAAAGAGAACGAGCAGGAGAAGATGTGCATATTGCAGCATATCGAAAGAAGAAACGACGAACATTTTGGATGTGTGAAACATGTGAAGTGCCTCTATGCTTACAAAAGAAATGAAACAACATGTTTTTCAAAGTTTCATGAAAAAGTGACTTTTTTTTCAATTTTAGTCATATATAAATGTTTTTGAATCAAGTGCCAATTTTAATATTTTATTTAGTATCATATGTACGAGTATCAAATTTTAATCTTAAAATAATATTCAAGAAAATATTTTCTTTTGTTCCTAAAATTTAAAAATATTAAATATATACTACATGCAAAATGTGCATATGCAAAATTTTACAAGTCATGCATATATGCAATAAGTACAAAATGCATTTTAGTGTGTTTTATTATGAATATTTTAGAATGCACGCTTTATTTTGTTTATTCATTCCACATATAATTTTTTTTTCCTGCTATACACCAATATGCTATAAGACATGTGCTAGTTGCATGGTGGGACAAACGGTATCCCACCTTCCACCGTAAAAAATAAAAGCGCAGAATTTTTTTCAAGCCTTAAAGGCACTTAAGTAAGTCCATCTGACTTATTCTAAGGCATTTTTTTAAAGATTAAAATATATTTTAAATATGCGTGCCTAAAAGCAGTTATTTAAGTCCTATACTTTTTGATAGAAAAGAGTAATGTATACATGATTTACATTTCTTAATCTAATCGAAAAATTGTTGGGCATTCATATTTTTTTTTTAATTCTATATTGCCCAGTAAAATATTCATATATTGCCTAACAGTAAAAAGCAGCATATTATTGAACTCTTTGGTAAATAAACTGAGTTGTTTATTATATTCAAAATTCTGAGAAACAAAACAAATACATATTGATCAATAGAGAAACTTCTGTTTATTAAACTTATCTCCTCTGCTTATTAAATTCCGTGTGGTTGAAGATTGATTCTTCAGAACCAGAATATTTTACTTGTACCTATCAAAGCCTTTCATAGTGCATTCATCGAACGTATTGTGCATCGTGCCTTTATCATTCAGTATACGTAAATCCAGTAAAAACTACGCCGCGTTGGCGTTATAGAAGTTCTACTTATCTAAGTTATATGACAAGTTTTGCTGGACAAACAAACGAAAGAAAACAAAAAGTTTTCGAGAGGTTAGTGAAAACGAAAAAATTTCGATTGACAGGTTAGTCGGTATTCTCGGCACAATTACCGGGACTTGAACAGCGGAATTTGTAACTGAACGAGAATTATGTCTGTTTATAGAATTAAAGAGAAAGTATTATCACATAAAAACGAAGCAACTTAAACAACTTACATTGAAAGAAATGTTTAATAAAGTAAAAATAATATTAAGCTTTCTTTTTGTAAATTTTGATACCCTTTAGATTGTTCTTTATTTCTAAATTCGGTTTCATATTTTTAATTTTAGAATTTCTGCACGCCATCTTACCAGATTTAAACTGATGATCTATAATCCGGAAAATCGATAATCTGGAATCGCCGAAGTCCCGACGAGTCCGGATTAAAACTTTTGACTGTAGTTTGACGGAAAATTTTCTACCCTCCTGGGCTTTTGCACCAGTGTGACACTGTTTTCAGAGTTCTTTGTTCTCACTGGATTTTAGAAGGGCAAAGTTTTCTTATCTTAATGTAAAAAAAATAAATAAAATAAATAAATATATAAAAAAAACCACCTCAAGAGCTACTGTAAATGAGTGATGGTTCCTTTTTGAATGCTAGCTTCTATTTAGGTGAAAATACAACTTCTGTGTCCCAGCTTTTAAGGTTTCACATTCAAAATCTTCCTTTGGGGATAGCCTCATTACATTCACACAGAGTAATAAAAAGAGATCATGAAATGCTTCTAAGCATTACCATGCATTGAGAGTGCTGTTGTTTTCATATTAAGTGGAAGCTAACGATGGAACCACGTACTGTTTAATGATGAGTCTAAATATAGCCTATACCATGATTCTGGACAAATCTTAATCTAGTGGTAGAAAGAAATGCATGACTTGCCTTTGTTTGCCTTGTTCAAGAAAGGTCCTGTTTCCACAGAAGATGTTTCATGGTATGGGGTGAAATAATCAAAAATGGCTGTACTGAGCTACATATGTGTGATGGGAGTTTTGTAACCAGTCACAGATATATGAAGAAGGTCTTGGTATTGCATTTTGAGGCTGTCTAGGAGGGCTGTTGGCTTAGACTTTTTTTGTTAATGGATGACAATGCTCATTTTAAGGTGGCAAATTGTAGGTCATCGGATGCTTCTCCAGGTGCCCCCTACATGTGAAAAGTGTGCTATCAGAAGAGTGTTATGCCGTTCCACAAGACATGGTCAACAGTTTGGTAGATATAGTGAAGTACTACATGAAGTCTGCATTTCTGTCAGAAAGGATCATACATCATATTAAAGGGAAATTTGTAACAAAAGAACAGAGGTCCTAGCAGTTTGAAATAGTCCATAAATCTGATTTTTAATTCATTATTTAAGATTTCTAGTTGGGCCCACCAGCGGCCGAGCAGTAAAGTCGCTGAACACTGGTAATTCGGTCCGAGGTTCGAATCCCACGAACGGGCTGGCTACATGGGCGTTTTCATGGTTTTCCCCATGTGTAACGTGTATATGAGCCAGTTTCCCTTAGAAAGTACTCCACAAAGGCATCCCTCCCCTTAGGCAGATAGCCCTAGTGTGCTTTGCCATAATTAAATACACCAATTAGATTTCTAGTCATTTGGGAAACATGGTAGATTTTGTAAAATAACGCTTGTTTTCAAATTAGAAGAGAAACACGTCAACGCAAAACCTAAAATTAATAAAGAAACAACCTTGTATTTGGCATAGATTTTGAGTTGATCCATAAACTGTTTTTTCCCTTTGCTTTCATGACTAAATTAATACCATATTCAGAATATTTAGCAGTGAAGCATTGCATACTTTAAACATTGATGCATTCTTTTTGCAATTGCCACATTATTCATGTTAGCAAAATAATACTTTGTGCTCCACATTACATTTCATACATGATTCACCTGCTTGATTTTTCATTTTTTATTCATTTTTAAAAGACATAAAAATTATACATATTTATTTTTACTAAATTTAAAATGATCACTGAAATCACCAGAGTGAAGAAACAAACTGAAGGCTAACACCAATAATATGAGCTTAGAGCCATACTCATTCCCCTTCTGTACCATACCCATTCTATTGTGATGTATTGTATGCACCATCATACAATGGGAGTAATTTATATTTATGACTCATATGACTTACTTATTTTTACACTTACTGGCTTACACATACGTTTCATTTTCAAATTCTGCATAATCCCAAATCACACCATATTACAATGATAACCACATTTTTTTTCCTTGATTAGGGCTCGTTTCTTCTTCTCTTTTCATAAAATAACCCCCATTTAAGACTCTCTCTACACTCTGTATCCTCGTGACGAGAACAGGCCTGCTATTAAGCTTTAAGTTGTTGTTGCAAGGTGATTTAAAACTAAACATTTGATCCAAAATACTAGGCAGGAATTGTATTATTTTAATCATGAATGCTTCAAGGGACTACTCGATGATATGCAAACAAAAGTCCTTTTGAGGCATAATACTACTTAATGAAAGATGATTAAAATTCTATTTTGATTTAAAAAATTCTGTCTTGATTTGAACAACAATCGAAGCTATAAAACAGTTTAAAGGTTGAAAAATGTGTTACTATAAATTTGTACTAACTTAAGCTTAAAGGACATCAAATGAGAAAAAATAAGTTATTTTAAGAAAATGGTTATTGTTCGCAGGCCAGATAAAAATATGCAGCAGTCTGTAGTTTGCCCAGGCTTGGTGTAAAGCATATAGATAGCGTATTGAAAACATCTGAATAAATAATCAGGCTTCATTAATTTTGTGCTTTCCACTGTTTTTATAGAAATTATGATAAAATTCTTTCATTTCAGGGATCATTTAGTAGTTATTGATTGGAAAACTTCAAAAAAGGTCAAATCAACAATTAATAATACATATGATAACCCTCTTCAAATAGCTGCATATGTTGGTGCCTTGAATTTTGATCCTAAATTCCAGTATCTGGTAAGCTTCTGAATAATGTAGTTTAATTTGTGTACATGGCTATTTAGATTTGTTGCATATATATAGAACTTTTTATGAAATTAATTTAGAGCAACCTAGTGATTTATTAAAAGTTATTTAATTTTAAAATAAGTTCACATGCTTTTAAGATTTTGTTAATCATAGTCCAGTTTTCATGGATATATACTAGTAAATCAGAGGAAAGTACTGTCCTATTTATTTATTTTTACTCGTAACAAGCTATCATTTTGAAGCATTTTCAAATCTGTATTTTGGAAATAGTTATCTTCATTATAACTGCATAAATATTTATGTTAAGACATTTTGCATTTGTTGTTGCTAGATCAATTCCTTGTAAATGCTATAAAAATGTACACAGTAGTGCTGCGGTAACAAGGAATAACATGATCCATGATTTACTAGTTGATGATAGTGAAACTTATGTAGAATGGAATATTCATCTAATGTACATAGTTACAGTGATAATTTTTCCAAACTGAGACAACAGCATTAAATAAGATAACTATAAAGCAGTTTGTACACTACTGCCTAAAATTAATGCAAAATATTGTGTTCAGTGGAGTATACTTTCTCTTGTACCTGTAAAAGTAAGGAATTCTGATATTTTAACCTAATTGATCAGCATAACAAACTATAATTCTTTGCTCCTTAAATGCAACTTGCATCAATGTGAGCAGTAGTTTTATTTTTTAAATATAATTTCAGCATGAAATAGAAATTATGCTGTGATAAAGTTTTTACTAGTTACTATTTTCATTTTTAAAATTATATTAATTTTAGACAATTTTGAAATCTTATCTGTTTTAGCAATTTATTACTGTGGTTATACTGTTGTTAAAACATATAAAAAGTTATTGGGACTGGTTAAAATGAAATACATGTCTAACACGATGTGTTATTGATGTGCACTTAATTATATTGAATGGCCCTATGAATATGCTTAGTTGTAACTTTCATTAAAAGAAATATAAAGTGTGCCTAAAGATTTATTTATGTTTAATGAATTAATTTAATGATTTTGTTTTAGCTCTTATATTCGTATATTGGTTATTACATTGAATGTAAAAGAAAATTAAACCATTACTTTTGTTGCAAAAACCTGACTAAATTGGCAGCGTATTTTAAATAATTTTCATGCATTGAATTGCACATTTTTCACAGAACATTCTCTCTCATCTTGCTTGTTTTAGAATTAAGACTGAATTGAAATCAATTATTAATTTTACCAAAAACTTGTGTTATTTTTTAGCAAATCAAAAACCTTTTTGCTTTATCATAGATGCAGCTTTTTCTTTCATTGCTATTAATATCAGTTAATAATTAAAATAATTTGTGGTAGGAAAATCTGAAGAAATGACTTGGTTGTGCCTAAAAAGAAAATTCAATGCAATGAAATAAGTTTAAAATGTTTGTTTCATTAAGAACATACTTTCCCAAATGCAGTGCAAGAACATATGCATTATTTATTTATGCATAAGAATAATTTTTTCCCTTGCACTAATAGCATAATAGTTTCTAAATACTAGTAATATCATTATTTTTCATTTTGGGTTGGGAGCTTTATTACTACAAATAAGAACTTTTGAAGCAGGAGAGCTTTGATGACACAACACTTATGAAAATGAAAAAGTGCAAGATGCAAGATTAGAGCAAATCGAAAAATTGATTTGAAACTCAGAAATTTGTTTGAAAATTGATTTGAAACTCAGAAATTTGAATATGGAAATAAAGGTAAATCAAATACTCTCTTACCACTAATAACTGCAATTTGTCAGCCAACATATTTATGATTACAAGCTGAGATATATTTCCAAAGCTTGAACAATCTTCTTTGAATTTGAAGTACACAATGATTTTTTCCATTCCCTATACTCAGTTTTAAATGATTATGCAGGTGCATGAGAAGGCAGTGTTTCAGTTATATTATGATGTGTTGTTACTTAGCTCGCATTTTTTTAACTTACAGACTATGTATTTTTTTTAATTCATTTAATCTCTATTTCTTTGCTCCACATTTGTGGAACTATGGGTAACTAACTGAAACTAGGGATACTGAATCATCGGGCATGGAGCATATTAGACATAATTAATAATAAGGTCACGCTTTTGTAATTTTAAGTTTATATTTTGTTTTCACTTAATTTTTATCTCTTTCAATAGCAGAATCTTTCAGATGTCATCTGTTGGCAAACTAAATATCATAAATCGCTTTTTAAAAATAACATTCATTTTAACACTTTTCATTACTGACAAAGTTCAACTTTTTGAAAATTTCGATTTATCAAAATTCTGTTGTATTTTTTTAATGAATTAAATTCCTGTTATTGTGATATAAAATGTTATTTACAATACAATACATAAATAATTTTTATGGTCTTTTCAGGCAAATAAAGGTTTAATTGTTATTGCATATGAAAATGGAATGAAAGCAGGACGTTTTTTTATTGATGAAAATGCAATGCAACAATACTGGAAAGAATGGCTTAAACGTGTTAAACTGTATTGGGAAAGTATCACTATTGATCCTGAATAAAACAAACCTGTCACATTATGTTTTCAAGATTTATAATAATTATTACAATTTTAGTAATTCTTTGTAAATAAGAAAATTTAAGTTAAATCCTGTACTTAAAGCAGATACGTCTGGAAAAAAAGAAAAGAAAAGGTTTTTTTTTTTTTTTTAAATATGAGATAATATTCCTATGTACATGCTCGCTGTAATACTTTTGATCATATGAAGATAAATTTTCAACAACAACAGTCTGCTTCTTTTATAAAATTTTAGGGTTAATCAGTATTTATTCCTTTCAAGCCTTATAATAAATAAGTATTAAGAACCTTGTAGTTCATTTCTGGTTTGTTGCCATTAATATGAATGAAACTGATATATGAATATTAAAACAGCTTTAAGCAAAGATATTTAAATGCAGTGCTTCAGTGTGTTTTTTTATCTTTATCCAGACATTCAGTTTTCAAAACTCTATCTTGCTTTCAGAAACAATGAAGGTTATTTTTAATTATTAAATGATAACTACCAAGTATGAATGCCATTAGTCAGTAGCATGTAAATATTCTTATATTTTTTCCTTAATAATAATAATTTCCTTAATAATAACTTACATAATGTTAGTTGGAGGGATGATATACATAGTTATACATAATGTTATAACTTCACTGTCTTCAATTTTTGCCTTAAATTAAAACTGCAGTTTTAATTTTTTATCACAGTTTTGATGCTTAAAATGGGAATTCATAGAATATCAATCTTTTATCCTTAGTTGGATAATTTCTTCTTATTGCATTTATTTTAGTCAATCCTTTTATAAAAGCTGATATCAAAATTTAATTTGTAGTATTATTTTTACTGTGTCAAATTTTATTCAGGTGCTTTGTTCATTTGATGAAACTATTATACTGCTTTGAATTTTCCTAATTTAATTAAATTTCCTTGGAGCACACATTGTTTAAATGAAGCAATATAATGTTTAAAATTGAGAGGGTTATGCACATATCATAAAGAATGGTGTTTTATATGATATTGCATTGTGATGGTTTGTGATTTATGCAGGATATTTATGTAAGATGGTGAAAGCTTTTTCATTAATATAAGGCACATGCACAGGTATGCGTAAATTAAGGATGGAACAAGTTTTCCTATGGAACGTCACTCTGCAGTGTTTCAAATTACTATAAACTTTCCATAATATCATCAAGCTATATGGCTATGGAAAAGATAGAACACACTGACCAAGAAAGTAATCCAAAGGATGCTAGGAACTTTAATTCTAAAAGTGAGTTCCGTGTGTAGCAGGACAAAGGACAAAAATGTTTGCTTGACACATGATAAGCAAGGAAAGTGTATTTATTGGTAGGGTTTGTAATGTGGATGGGCAGTGTCTGTTCATGTGAGGTTGTCAATGAAATCTTGAATGTTCATTTCTTTTGCAGCATCAGCTGCATTTAAAACATTGTTGCTGGTAGCTGGCAATGTGTTGCCTGGCACTTCCTAAATATATCTCATGCATGCTTGATTGTATTTAGATTTGATGACTGTGCAATGAATATTTTTTTACTCCTATACTTCAGTGACTTATACAATGAGACATGGAGAAGAACTCAAGAGAATTCAGTACTATAGCAGTTACTAATTATTAAACTTCCTTAAAAAGTGTGGATCTCTATAGAGCTACTGATCAGCGTGTTTCCTAGCACAAGAACTTACCATCTGAAACTGGTGTCTTTTGGTAATGTTGGAGGAATGACTGTGTATTTTTGCTCTCTATAAATGTTCAAAATCCAGAATCAGTGAGTGCTTGATCTCTTAGTGCAGCTACCTAATTCTTACATTTCTAATATCACAGAAAACACTATCTCTGATGAATAGGCATCAATGGCACATGTTCAGTTTTTCATGTCATTCAAAATGTCGCCTGAGCTTATAATATGATGGTGTATACAATTCAAAACTCATCAGCTGCACTAGTAATCCTTTGACTTTTTCCCCACCTTACCAGTCATTCAGTTGTAAGTTGAGCTGACCAGATGCTGTTGTATGTATCACACTGTAGCATTAGCCCACTGTTATTCAAAGTGTGCAATAGCTTCCACTGAAATGCTGAAAAAATACCGTACCTTATGCTGTATACCTTTCCTATACACCCACACTTTGGCAAGCTGTGCATATGCACAAGCCATGCTCTATTTGATTTTAGTTTTCTCTTGATAATATTTCAGCCGGTTCTGTTTTTTTTTTTTTTTTTTTTTTCATTGTTATGTTAATTTCTGCACTTTATCCTTACTTTTTTACATACATACCCAGTGCATATACTTCCTATTGCAGACTTTTTCTAGTGTGGCAGTAAATTTTATGAGCTCAATTTTCAGCACTTAAAGTAAAATGGTTTTGACATTGCAGAGTATCAGGCATGGTTCTTTTAGAAGATATAAAGCCAGTTAGAAAATTATTATACTTTAAATAATTATATGCAAGAAGTGTTGTACAGGCAAAATTTCATGAAATATTCATATTTCATCTCGGTGACAGCTGCAAAGTTCATAAATAGTGCTATTTTATCCAGTGTGGAATTATTATTTACTAAATGGACAATTTTTATTTTGTAACTGCTTCCTAAAATGTAAATGAAATTTGAAGAAATTATATATCTTGGTCAAAGTAAACTTATATTTTAATATATTACAGCAAACTTAATTCACTTAATTTATTTTAATATATTACTGTAAGCTTATATTTTAATGTGTTCACAAATTTTGCACTTAAAGCTATGGAGCTTTTAAAATATTAGCAAATATTTGTTAATCATGTAATGTGCAATCTAATGCTTTTAGTTAGTTATTGATTTCATAGATGGCACTACTGAAACTCTATTCTGAAATCTGAACATGCGATAACATGGCCTGAAAGAGAGATTTTTTAAAACAATGATCAATTTTACTTCCACTATCTAAAAAATATGTATTCAACTGAAAAGCATTAGATTGTATACAACATGGTTACAAAACATTTTTATAGATGGCCTTTTTGCTATTCAATGTCCGCATGAAAAGTTAAATTTTATGTTTTCAAAATTCTTCTTTTTCCAGCACTGAAACTGTTCTCATAAAATTTTCTTATCAAGTGAAAAGTGTAATTAGAAGTATATGCCCAGAATCAGCAATTAAGGAAGCAAATCTGTAGTCATCTTCTGCAAACAAATTAGGACATCACTATTACATTAAATTGACATTATATTTGTTGTAGTCTTGGGAATAAATTATGAGGAGTGTTAAACTTTTCAACTAATTATCAAAAGTTTATTAAGACATCTTTGCAATGGCCATCCAAAGATCTCATGCATCTATTTTCAAACTGTCGTTCGCATGAGAAGATATCTTTTAAAACGTATAATTTACATTGATCCAGTGACTACAAATTTTCAAGCATCATTTCTTAGTTGAATATATAAACATTCACTTATAGCTTTTACTCTAATCAACCTTTTTTTAAAAATTCATTACAGCATTTCACAGAGTGGTATCCGCCAAAGAAAGGACTGCCTTTTGAAGGCAAACTGGCCCTTATCCACATTACCCTTGGGAAAAACCATGAAAACTCCCATGAAGCGAGCCCATTCGCTGGGATTTGAACTGCGGATCGAATTATCTGTGTTTAAAAACTACTGCTGAGGTGCTGGTGAGCCAACTTTAACCCTTTGGTTCTGCCTAAAAAGTAATCACTAAAAAGTTTATTTGCTTGTCACCTGGTTATCGTATTGGCAATAATTAATATTGTTGAATTTTTTTATAAGGAATATGGTGGTTATAGTATAATACCACTAGGACTATATGTCTTGATTTTTTTGGATGATACTGTTGAAAACAGTTCTTCTTATCATTCAGGCAGAATCCAACATTGCAAACTCTGCACTGGCAGTTTGTGCAATTGGGTTTAGCTTTTATATTTCATAAATCACATTGCAAAGATATTCCATATGCTGCATTTGCACTGCTTTATGTTCTCGAATCTCAGATGGGACAAAGAGTTTGTATGTTCAGGCACGTTTGTTGATGTCTTTGCTTTTTCGTCCACCTCTCCAAAGTGCTATCAATCCTCTCACTACAGAAATTTGAAAACTGGAAATCGTAAGAACTGACCTTCACTCCTCATGAAGAGCAAGATGTACAAATTTTTAATTGTCAAGTGAACAAAGTTCCGAAACATACGAAGCTATTAATGTTGAAAATGTAACTTATAAGCCATTGCACAAGTGATACTGAAATTTTATTGCACAGAATACACACACACACAAAAAAGAGAACAAATTATGGCATTACCCCAAGAAAATGCTGATATTGATGAAACATTGCATTTTATGACGAAATTTCTGCTCCATGCCAAAAGATGCCATCCTATGCTAACTATTTATATATATGGTTGTGAAAGAAAAGCACCTGCTTATAGAATTTTGAATAGGTGGTGTCAGTGGGAAATATAACTATGCTGTAAGAAATTTACATTGTTATGTCTTTATTTTTTCTCATTCCAGTGGAATTTTGAAACAATTCACTTCCAGGTATCATTTGGGAAATATATTCATTTGGGAATATTATTCTTTTTCTTTCAAATTTATCGATAAATTGTTTTAATTATGGTTATCTTTTGTAAATAATTGTAAACTATTTATGTAATGATTTGTATATAAATTGATAAATATTTATGTTTTTATTTATATATTTGAAATAAAAACAAATCAAATTCATAATAATATAAAAATTTCATGCTTTTTTGATCTACCATTAATTCAGCACGTTATGTAAAATATTCATTAATGCAAACGGTGAAAACTTCCAATACAATTCAAGCACAAGAAAAAATTTTATATTAAAATTTGCAAACAAAAAAATCAGGATGTAATAAATATATATAAAGTTCGTCAAACATAGTCAGTTATTTTTTAATAGATTTTATTAGCATTTCCTAGTTTAAACTGAAAAAAAAAAAAAAAAAAAAAAAAAAAACTAAATGTTGCTTGTCATGTTAGAATTTGACTGTTA